CAAAATTATTATTTATCTAATTATTTATGTATTGTATTAAATGATGTTCATTTCAGAATTATACATAAATTTTGTTGTATTTTATAGATTTTTGCACTGAAAGATAAAATAGCTGCATTTGTATGCAGTGGGGATTTAGAAGTTCAAGAAAGGTCTAGTTCTGTATTGGTTTTACTTGAATGTTTAAAAGAAAGTCCTGGTTTGGCAGAAGAATTAATGGAAGCATTTGAAGGAGAGCTTAATCCTGTTGCGCCAAAAGCACAAAGAAAGGTAATTATTATTTATATGTTTTCATATAATTTTATTAGTCAATATTTTCTTCATTTGTTTCGAAAAACACATTTTATAAAATCATATCATTGTTATTAATTTCCTGTGTATTGATTTTTTACATTTTTTCACACATTTTTTGTATTGAATGTAATGTTCAAATTAATATTAGATGTTTGTTTTTTTATTGTTACCAGAAATAAACTAAAAAATAATTATTATTATTATTATTTATATACATTATCTTACTTTGTTTAGGTGCCAATTCCTGAGGATCTGGATTTAGATTCATGGATCAATGATCCACCATCAGAAAGTTCAGATTCAGAAGATCAAGATATGAATGATATTTTCGTTAAGACGGAGAAAATGAACGATTCCTATCCTAAACGAGAATTTAATGAACCATCAGCAGAGGAACTTCAAAAACGACGTGAAGCTAGAAAATTAGAACAACAAAACAATCCACATTATTTAAAAGGCACATTTAAGAATTCCACATCATATCATAACTCATCAAATATTTATGAGGAGTTTGAAAACATTCCTGTAACGGAATTAGATATTCCAGTTTCTTTAAAAATTACGAATAATCATAAAAGATACAAAGTACATGGCAAGAAGAAGAAGAAGACTAAGAAAAGTATGTTTAAATCTTGCATATATATGCGCTCATGATAATTATATTATCTTAAACTGTAAACATTACAATCCTTAGGTAAAAAGCCTACTTCAGAAGATGAACAGGATGATATTTATCCTATTCAAGTGGTGAATACTGGGATTGGTGAATTACCACCAGGTGCAGAATTAAGTGATAGCGACGACTACGACCATGTGGATGTAAATGACCCACATAGAGCCTTAAATATTGATTTGGATCTACCTTTGAGGGATGATGAAAGATTACCTGTTTCGGAACATAGAGTTAATGAAAATAATTTAGTTCAAGAAACTACTGAATCTAAAGGAAAGAAAAAGGAAAAAGTAATATGTTTCTTCTTTTGTTTAAAAAGTTATAATATATTAAATATACATTTTATTTTTAATAAAGAAGTTATTAGTTCAAAATTAAATATAGTTTTATTATATTTTGTTTATTAGGGGCATAAAAAATCAAAGAAGAAAGTTAAAGAAGTTAAAGGAAAACGTTATGACAATCAGTTACAACTTACTGATATGTGGTTAGAAAATAATACTTCCACAGGAAATATTCAGCCACCTGTTGCTAATGAGTATACGGAGGTTTTCAGTGAAAAGGAATCAGAATGGAAAGATGCTAAACGTAAGAAGTCAAAAAGTCAAGAAAAGCATAAAAAAACGGACGAGGACTCGAAGCATAGAAAATCAAAAAGATCGAAAATTAAAAAAGAATCTTTAAAAAAATCTTCAGATTATGAAGAAACCGCTGGAATCTCGACACCGTCTAAAGAAATATTACCAGATTTAAGATATAATTTTTCAAATTCTGAAGATAATACAATTTTAGAACCAGTTACTTCGTACGAAGAATTAGCTAAAAATAAAGTGCTATCTATAGCATACGAATTGAAACAAGTTCCTCACGAGTCAAATAAATTAGTTGCGTCAATACTCATTACGAATAATTGTCAGAAGCTTGTAAAGGAATTAGTTTTTGATGTTCCAGATACATCGTCATTAAGATTAATGAGAAATGTAAGTTAATATGTACAATGAAGAAACAAAGCAAAAACTGTATAATTTTACAACTGAGTATATTATTTCTTACTTTGATAATTGCTATTTCTTACGTTATGTACGATATTTAACTTGCGTGGCAACAAAATAAAGAATTCATTTTAATAAATATGCTATTCTTTCAGATTGGAGACGAATTTGGTATAAAACTGCCATTTCAACTGTCTCCACAAACCAGCAAAGAAACACAGTTTACTATTTTAATCTCAGATGTAACATTTGCTCAGAGGTTGAGAGGCACGCTTACATATATGTTAGAAAGCAAAGAAAGTACATTGCAAGAGAAACTTGACTTTACTATGCATTTAACTTGCAGTAAATTCATGGTCGGCCATCTTTCACATAAGGATATATTAACAGAATTACTTAAAAGTGGTCAACTTGTATACAAAGTTAGGAAAGAAATTGTCCTTTCTCAAGATTTTGATATTATTTTAAATTTAATTTGTTGTAAATGTAACCTTACACTTGTGGAACAAATCAATGATACTGCATCTTTATATGGACACTCTTTGAAAGGACATCATGTGTGCCTTTTATTAAAGTATAACGTAAGACAAATATATTTTACTTCTTAACATTTAGCACTAATAGTGATTTTAATAAAATAGTAAATGTAACAAAAATACAATTTTCTCTTATAGAAGTCATCAGGCAATTTGGTAATTGAAGGTAAAGGTGACAATAACACGTTATTGTCAGGAATTGGAGAAGAAATTTTAAGGATTCTAACATAATATTGAAATAAACTGAAGTGTCCGTATTTTATGAGTCCTATCCTCATTCATTGCAGCCGTGTTCATTGCGTAATTCAATAGTAAAATGAACATTCTATATTATATATATAAAATAATGGCTATAGAAATCGTATCCGCAAACTTATCAAATATTTTCAGAAAAAGATCTTATCTAAACTTTACATCTAATTTAGGTAAACAAATTTCTAACATATGCATGTAAACATACACATGTATGTGAATAAATAGACACATGTATAATTATCTATATGTGTATGTAAGATAAAGTTTTAAGAAGAGGGAAGAGAGATTTATCAGAAATTGAAGACATCAGAAAGGAAGTAGTTTATTTTATTTGCATGCAATTTCAGTTTATGAACTCAAGTGCAATAATAAGATAGTAGATTATAAAATTAAATATTTATTTTAATAAACTTTATCATTTAACTTCAAATAGAAGTTTCAAATTGAGAAGTTTTTGTGTAATTTACTATATGTAAATATTACATATTAATGACAATTTTCTTAAAAGTTAGTCATGTTTCATATTAATATAAATAAAACATGTTTGTATAGCTCAGGATATTGAAATACTAAACTATTTTGCCAAAGTGAAGGAGAAGTATAATAAACTTTTTATGTGAAATATTATTTGTAAGAGTATTCATCTGTAAAGTAATCCAAAATATCTTAATAAATTACAAATATTGTATATTGAAAATTAACTACTTATATACTGATATCTTCAATTTTGTGTTTATTGAAGGATTAATATCATAATTACGTTGTTGAACTACTGATTAAACTGTAAAATACATCATGGATACTCGCGACTCGTGTGAATGTACATCGATGTTTTTCAGCGGAGTGTATACTTTCTTCATGTAATGACTTTGTAATATCAATAATTTAATACACATAAGGTTTTATGATAAGCATATAAATATGCAATATAGTAACACATGGAACACCAAATGTAAATAGCCAATACTTGTATGCTATAAACAATATCTTTATTTTAAATATCTTCCAAAAAATAATCTCATTTACGTAAAAAGACGTTCTATAAGAAAGTAATTTAATTATACACTACTCCTCTCTATATTAACATTAAACTTATGATTTGAAGTCATAAACAATAAATAAGTGCTGATGAATAATTGAAAAAATATTAACAGCATAAATGCCAGTAAATGATTTATAAAAATTGGAATTAATATCTTAGCCTTTAGACAGATTTAAACCGCGAGGAATAGAAATATTGTGTATCAATAATATGAATATTGAACTTCTTGCTTTAAATACTTTTTCTTTAAATGTAAATTTTTGAACTGTTACTTTTTTTTATTGCTATTTTTGAAAACGAATTTTCATGTTCTGTTGTAATAACATTTACTGTGCCAAAAAAAGATTAATCAATGACAACTTCGTCCTTCGAACAGTGTGAAAATATATTTAAGCCAAATAACTTTTTGTTTCCTTTTTGCATTTATATATAATACTAAATATACTATTAGTTTATGAAGATTATTGACATCATGTTTTACATCGATTGTAGTTTATGTATACTGATGTTTATAAAAAAAATATTCGTTTTTACGAATAATAACGATCTGTTAAATTTATTCATAAAAATTGTCTTACTCTTTGTACTTGATATATATAAAAATATAGAGTTTATCTTTGAAAATATGTTTTATGTAGAAAATTTTTTCTTATTAAAAGAGGTATAAAAATCATATTTTTTATATGAATTATATTTACTTATAATTCAATTTTTTGTGGGGGATAAATGTTCAAATTTATAAGTGAGCATTAATTTTGTTTTAAATATTACAATGTATCTTTTTTGTTGATAAATATATAGAAAATATAATATAAATTTTTAAACAATCAAAATAAAGCTCAGAAATTGTAAACATTAACATTGCTCGGTTTTTTTTTACTGCAATTGGATTTAATGATATATTTTTCTTTTTTTCTTTATTTACTTATAATTCTCAATGAGAATCAATTGTAAAATTCATCCAAATAAAAAATGATATCTTTCGTGATACATGTAGTATCATAAAATTCCCTAGATTTGTAATTTTGTTGCATGAAATATATTCAGCTGATGAAATGTATTCAGTATGATATACTACGATATATTTAGTTGATTCAACTTATATAGCAACAAAAGTTTAGATTCTTATGTAATAATATTATAAAATAAATATTCTTAAGATCCGATGGATGAGTTGCATTCACATAAAAGGTTGGTATAACATGTTTTGACATTAGTTTAATATGGCGGTATTTTTTAGTGTTAGTGCATGGTAACAGTATCGTGTTCTTTAATATTTTTGTGTTATTAATTGAAATTTTGTTGCCAATGAATTATGGAGGCTGGTGCGAGTACCGGTACTCGTACAACGCGATTTATGATGGAGGGTGTCGGAGCCCGAGTCATCCGTGGACCCGAATGGAAGTGGGGTAAACAGGTTAGTAAAGAGGTTAACTGGTTTTAATATAATTTTTATATTTTCACATAACATACGATATATATTTCATTTTTTTATAATATTGCATGTCCGTTAAGGTTATTGCATCATACTTAATATTCGTTTAATTTATTGTTGGAAAGTTTTTATGTATATTTATTATGTTCTATGTATAGTTTATTAATATAGTTTTAGTAATTTATTTTATTAAAACATTTTGTATAATTATGTTATATATGTATATAAGATCGCAAATTTAATTCTTATGTTTTGATTTAGTTTGTTTTGCATGCATTAGTTTCTTTTGTTGTAATTAATTTTCAAGCACTTTAAACGATAAGAACTATTTTTAATTTGTCTTGTTTTTGTTTTAATAATCTTGAAAATTTTTTATTTTATTCTTTTTTGAGATATAAATAGACTATTACTATTGAGTTTCTTCTATGTTAATGTATTTATGGTCATAAATATGTTTTAAGTATAATTTTTCAATATGACAGGATGGAGGAGAAGGTCATGTAGGAACTGTTAGAAATTTTGAATCTCCAGAAGAAGTAGTTGTCGTTTGGGATAATGGTACAGCAGCTAATTATCGTTGTTCTGGTGCATTTGATCTTCGAATTTTGGATTCAGCTCCGACTGGCGTGAAACATGATGGAACAATGTGTGATACGTGCAGACAACAACCAATTTTTGGAATTCGTTGGAAATGTGCAGAATGTGGGAATTATGACCTTTGTTCTATTTGTTATCATGGAGACAAGCATCATTTAAGACATAGATTTTATCGTATAGCAACACCTGGAAGTGAAAGAGTATTATTGGAGCCACGACGTAAAAGCAAAAAGGTATTAATTCACTTCTTTAAATGTTATATTAGTATCATCATCATTATAATAGTAATATAACTTATCTTTTTATATATGATGTTAGATTGCAATTCGTGGTATATTTCCTGGTGCCAGAGTTGTAAGAGGTGTTGATTGGCAGTGGGAAGATCAAGATGGTGGAAATGGTCGAAGAGGTAAAGTTAATGAAATTCAAGATTGGTCTGCAGCTAGTCCACGTTCAGCAGCCTATGTTATATGGGATAATGGTGCCAAAAATTTGTATCGTGTTGGTTTTGAAGGAATGGTTAGTTTAAAAGATAAATTATTAAGTACTGTCATAAATCAGATATAGCTATGTGAATTACGGGAGTAAGTATGTATATTTAAAGAATAATATGGACAATTAGTGATTGTTAATGTTTCAGGCGGATTTAAAAGTTGTTAATGATGCTAAAGGCCAAACAGTTTACAGATATCATTTACCACTATTAGGTGAACAGGGTCCAGGTCGCACTGGCGCCCATGGATTACAAATTGGAGATCAGGTTATTGAACATCATGATTATTATAAAACAATATAATAAAATTTCTAAAAACAAAAGTAATAAATAAAGCTGTTTGTTTTGTAGGTTAATGTTGATTTAGAATTAGAAATCGTACAATCGTTACAACATGGGCATGGTGGTTGGACGGATGGTATGTTTGAGTGTCTTGGTACTACAGGGACTGTTGTTGGTATTGATGAAGATCACGATATTGTTGTGTCCTACCCAAGTGGAAATCGATGGACCTTCAACCCTGCTGTATTGACAAAAGTACAAATACCAGTCCCCGTTACTAGTTCAAGTTCTGACAACCAAACATTTGCGGTCGGTGATTTGGTACAAATATGTAACGATATAGAAAAAATACAACGACTTCAACGAGGTCATGGTGAATGGGCCGAAGCAATGGCACCGGTACATTATATAAAATTCTCTAGAATATAGATTTTACAAAAATACGAATTAATTTTAAATACATGTATAATATTTATGTTTTTATAGACTATGGGAAAGATTGGTAGAGTTTTGCAAATTTATCACGATGGGGATTTAAAAGTAGAAGTTTGTAGTACATCTTGGACATATAATCCTCAAGCAGTTACCAAAGTTGCAAGTAGCGATGGTAGTGTACCAGGAAATAGCAGTGGGGGTATGTTTAAAATGTGTTTAATTTATTTGCATCATTTCCTAAAATTTGGAAGAGAAATTAATATTTTTTAACTTTTTCAGAACGTCTATCAGCATTGCTAAAAAAATTGTTTGAAACGCATGTTTCGAGCGATGTTAATGAAGAGTTAGTAAAAACTGCTGCGAATGGTGATGCAGTTAAATGCGAAGAATGTTTAAAGAGACCTGAAGCTGATGTGAATGGCGTATTTTCGGGTCATACTGCTTTACAAGCAGCAAGTCAAAATGGTCATCTAGAAGTTATTAAAATTCTCCTCCGTTATAAAGCAGATGTTGAAATTGAGGTAAGAAGAGAACTAAGTTTTTTTAATTTATTATTATTTTAAAAATAATCTATGCAATATACATATATATATAATATATATATATATATATGTATATTACCATTGGAAGGTTATGTATTTAAGAATACTTAATTATTAGGTATATTGAAAGTAAACAATTTATGATACATTTAGGATAAAGATGGAGATAGAGCTGTACATCATGCAGCATTCGGAGATGAACCGGGCGTAATGGCATTATTAGCTGGTGCTGGAGCTGATTTGAATGCTAGAAATAAAAGACGCCAAACTGCCCTCCACATCGCGGTTAATAAAGGACATGCCGGTGTAGTGCGCACGTTATTGGAGTTGGGATGCCACCCAAGTTTACAGGTAAGTAATAATATGTATTTTTACATGTATATCCTTTCCAATATGTATATTTTTACACACATTTCCTTTTCGATATATTTGTTCCTATATACATTTTCTTATGTATATAAGTTTAGTATAGGACTTTTAAATTTCTTTACGAAACTTTAATTGATTTAAAAGTAAAAATATTATCGAGCACCGAACTTAATAGATTTAATATTATAATTGGAGAGATTAATATTAAATATTGTTAATATTTTTAATTAAATTTATATATTATAGTAGTGACTTATCGATTAATGTAAGTCTCCTTTAGCTTTTGGAAATTACATTACTTGCACTATAATATATTAGTAAATCTATTGTTTCTTGTGTAATAATTTCGGTAAAATAAAGAAAATTAAAAATACAATATATTGATATTTTAATTCAATATATACACTTTTCTTATTAATATATATAGAGTGATTATTGGAGATACGTTGTATTTCTAGAGTAGGATATACATAATATAGATATTGGGCAGTCATTCTTAATAATCACTCTTTATGATAGATTTACACAGTATTTTTATTTCGATGCTATTACATTTGAATAAATTGCGATCTTAAAAGTTTACTTATTATTTGATTTCTAATTTTTTTTATTAAATTTCATTACAATATGGTATATACATTATATGTATAAAATTCTAATAAAAAAGAGAATTGTAATTTTAGAAATATTTTAAGATGAATTATTTACGATTACGTTACTTCTCAGTGAATTATGAAAATATGGATTCACTTTTCTTTCCTTATATTTAGCTTCTTATATACTTAAATTTTCATTCGATTGCTTATTTATTAGTTTAAGCATTTCGGAAAGTTTTGATTCGTAGCTAGCTTTTTTGAATTTCAATCATAGTATAATTTTAATATTAAATATTTCAGATTTTATTACATTGTTTCTTTTTCATTCATTATTTTTAATTACACAAATAGAACGTATTTCCACAATGTTTTCTTTAACATTAACGAATTTTCAATTTTATTATCATTATACATCAGAAGTTATCTATAAGTTCATTGTATTTTCTAGAATTTAGTATACGGACCTTGTGACTTGGTTTTTGATTACCTGCTTTTATTTTTGTTATAGTTTATTTGAATTTTAGGGAGTTGATATTATTGTTATTATATTATCTCATTCTTCTACATGTTTTCGGTACTGTTACTAAGTAATGGCAAAATTTATCGCGTTACACTTATTTGTTTAAAATAGTGCAATTATTTTAAATCTAATTACGATAGGGCTTATAGCATTATATTATTATAATTTTATTTGCATTCGAACAATAGAAACATTTCGCAAACTATTAACTAATTATTATTTAAAGTAAGTAAAAGTAACATCAATTTTTGTTAACAACTTCTGAAGCATAAAACGTTAACTTTTACGTTTATCTCACGATTAATTAAGAAAATATAATTCCTGTTTATTTTATATGAGTAGTAATATATTGAATATCATGTAAATTACCTATGATTTATATAATTTACGGAAAAATGAATTTATACTTTTAGACATGAACGATCGTTATTTAAAATTTCAATAATATATACTTCTCATATCGTTGAACCTATAAAAACATACATATACATATGTACGTGTCGTACGTATTTCGTCATTGTTAATTCAAAAAATCTCTTACATATGGAACATTCAGTATGGTTATTTAATTTTTTATTCCGCTAGTGGGCAATTTCGCGTGTCTACTGCGAATTTTTCTACCTCAGCTTAATTGCTCAGTCTCCGGAACCATAAGGTCGTCGTCATCACCGTCGTCGTCGTCGTCATCGTCGTGCACGGACAGAGTTCCACGTACGAATGTGAATTAGTGTTAATTCACCTTTGTTACATGGGTATCTCCTCATTTGCAGGAGACTTAATTAATTCAGTTATCTGCCTGGAGGAAGCCTCGAATTCCACCTGCGTTACGAGTGTCGCAGGATTGTGTTTGAGAATACGTGTTGCGCATAATCAAGCCCCGCTCTCTGTACATTCGGTGTCCGGGCAATGGGGTATAACACAGAGAATTTCTATTTTCCTTCGAAACAATTCAAACCTGAAGACAACTGGGAGCGTTTTCTGCGATAAACAACACTTACGTGCTTGGAATACGCTCTCGAGGATCGACTTCCCTTTTTGTTTCTCGCATTTTTCCCCTCCCAGATAATACTGTCTTTCCTGTCTATCTCCAGCCACTATCATAACACGAAACGTTTTAAGAACACGAAACGGAGGAAGGATACGCACGCTCGGTTCCAGATGAAATTTTGAATAGAAGACGATTTTCGGACACGAAGTTACTCGGCTTTATACTTAAGAAGCTTGTACACTCTACCGCTTAAGAGTTTTCGGACGCTCGGTTATTTTCTTCGCGTCATATCTATTTTTGCGCTTACTAGGATTTATTAACGTCTCGTTTTAAGTCTACCGCAGTTCTCTTCAGATTTATAAAGGCTCTCGGTTTTAATCTTACCCTAGATCTTGTCCTGAATCTAATGTTGAAGCACGAGCCTTGCCGGGATTCAACGAGGTCTTGCTTAGAACTAATCTCGAACTCGCTTAGAACTTTAACTTATTTTCGTGTATCTGCGAGCTGAATGTACATTCCTGGATTCCATCTTAGCTTCTTGCGCGGATCCACTCACATACAAGTACAAACTTGCTTCTTTAAGTGAATGATCAACGTAAGCTTGTATAAACTGCTTGATAATTTCAAAGGAATATTTACGTGGTTTTCATATCTCAAAGAGTATTTTCTATCGTATTGATCAAGTATCTGCGATAAAATGTAGCGGTATGTTCACTTAATACGTTATAATTTTAATCAGTTAGCAACTTCAACTATCGTTACAAAATTTTTCTTGAAAATGAATTCCAATATAGAGGAATGACATTACGAGGAGTTATAGCTTGCGAGTACTGCGCAGAAATAATTATTTTTCAGACTCTTTAATCATTCAAGAGTTTCCTTCGTGTTCGTATTCTTCTAAATTTTTAGAATCTTGGAAGTTAAGTCGTTGAGGCTCGAACCTCTTCGAGAGGATTCATTAAACGGGCATATTAGAGATTCTTTGAAACGCCGGCACACTAGCAATTACAATAAATTATTGCAAAACCTTGTGTTCGTATAACGCTCTTTTCACAGGTAAGGAAAGTAATTAAGAAAGTTAGGTAATGCGTCCTCTCATTTTCATAATCACCGCGCGAAATGGTATAAATTAACAGTAAACGTAAATCAAGGACGTTTTTAAGGGCTGCGGGTTGATCAGTTAGTTGTGCACCGCTGCAATATACCAAGTTTATATAAGGCGTACGATTGTTTTAAGAATTTGTTTACATCTCTTTGAAACAAGAACATTTTAAAGATCTTCCACTCGAAGCATCGTTCTTTCGCAAATTTTCCATCAGATCAGCCGAATTTTTACTCTCGAAGCTACGAACGGTCTAAATTATACAGTAAAAATATACGGAATTGTTATTGTCATATGGGATCGAATGATTCCAACTAGTCGTCGAAGATAGAAAAGTGAAAAAATCCCAAGAAATGCGAGAAATTATTTGGAAGAAAATTGTCTAGCAAACATATAATGCTGGCAAAAAATAATGCTTATTTTTGTAATTTTCTGCTCTTACCACTTGAAATCCTCTTTTCACGAATCTCACGTTCTTCTAACACGGGACTGAATTATTTTGAGTTGTGACGCTCTTGAAATACGTGTGCGAATTGCCAATGAAGTAAAATTAAATAGTTTCAAGTTATATGTGCACTGTACGCTTGTCTGACGTATAATACGTTTATATGAGATTTCTGCAAGCGTTCAAATACTTTGTACGGATGCGAATAGATCGATATCTTTATTCACCGACGAATGTTGTCGTCGAATCGTTGCTTGGTTAATCGAAAAGTAGACGATCGTGGTGCTAAAGGGAGTCATTATAATTTACGTGGAAGCATGTAAATTCGAACTAATGACGACTAATCGTTTCCTAGAAACCATATTTTCCCATGGCGTTGTCGACTCGATCTCTTGGACAGCGTGTTTCAACCATTTTATTTCACGAACACGATCGTCATTATTGCGCGCACTATAATTGAAGTCGATCGTGTCCGCTACGTTGATCGATACAGTTAAATAAATCTGACGAATAAACCGTGGTAATCGGTATCGCCGCGTAATCGTACACGAGCGAAACCGCATAGCTGATGGTTATGACGATTATTTTTTAACGATTTAATCTGGGCAATTAATAACGATCGTCCCATAAATTTGGAAATTCCACGAATGAAAGAGTAACCTCTACTGTATCTAGATCGTTCATTCACCATCCATAGATCGTTCATTCATTATCGTTAGACTGCGAATATTCATGCGAAAGTTTTATCAACGCTGGCAAACAAATAGAATCTAAGCAGAGATTTCTTTCGCTCGCTAAATATTATAACCAGTGGCATACTTTGGGTATTTTATACAGAGTGGTTGGCAACTGGTGGTACAAGCGGAAAGGGGGCGATTCTACTCGAAAAAAGAAGTCGAAAATATAGAATAAACATTTTTCGTTCGAGGCTTTGTTTTCGAGAAAATCGACTTTGAATTTTCGCTCGGTACGCGTGCACTTTATCGCGTCTCGTTATAACGGATCTCACTGTAGATCGTTGTCTCGATGGAAAAATTAAAAAAAAAAATTTTTATTCTATATTTTCGACTTCTTTTTTCGCGTAGAATCACTCCCTTTCCGCTTGTACCACCAGTTACCAACCACACTGCATATCTTCATATTATATACATTCAATACGCCTGTTTGCAGTTTTAAATTTCCCACTAACGTGAAAAAATCCGCCGTCTAATTATTCAGAAACGTCGGCGAATGACGCGAATTTGTCAATGCATTACTATTGAAAATACGACCAATCCGAGTATAAAACGCGAACAGGTTCTGAGAGTATCGTCTTTGTATTCGGTCAACCG